AATGGTGTGGCTGAAGTGTTATGGTTGAGATCCTTATTTGAGGAACTGAGCATTGCTTATGAGAAGCCCCTTATACTATATTGAAGTGGATCGATACTTCATTATTGCTTATAAGAAGCCCATAATGCTATATTGAAGTGGATCGACACTATTAACATTGCCCATAATCTAGTACAGCATGACAGAACTAAGCTTATTGAAGTGGATCGACACTTTATTAGAGAGAGAATTTCTTTTCAAGAAGTGTGTCTTCCACATATTGCCTCCGATATGCAACTTGCTAATCTCTTCACTAAAGCAGTTACAAAGACCAAGTTGGAAACAGATTTGTGCAAGTTGGAATGATTAATAATCATTCCCAACTCGAGGGGGAGTGTAGAGATGTAGAGCAATAATGATTATTGTGGTCCCTACTGCTGCATGCTTGCTTTATGTTATTTATGTTTGCTGTTAGTATGTCAGTTATGTTATATCAGTTTCTGTTTGTTTATGTAAGCAGTAGGGGCATTAGTGGAACTTTGCTATGCTTTTAAATTACTAATATTAATAGCTGAGTGGGGGCCGACAACATTATTATGACCCACATTCTTTGTCTATTCTCTCTCCTTCGTTTTTCTCTTCTCTCCATTCTCTTCTCTTCTCTTCTTCTATTTTCTGTTCTTTTTCTTACTGAATTTATTAAACTAGAAATTGGACTGATTACAGTCTTCATTAGACAACTCCTTGTTTGGACAATGATTCTGAGTTCTGATTGATGTGCTCTGCATTTAGTGGTAACCATGCAGCGGCAGTCTCTTTAGCTGCAAAGCTACGTGGAATTCCAGCATACATTGTAATACCAAAAAATGCTCCGAAATGTAAGGTTGAGAATGTCAGGCGTTATGGTGGTCAGGTTATCTGGAGTGAGGCCACAATGCCATCAAGGGAAAGTGTTGCTGCCAAAATTTTGCAAGAAACTGGTGCAGCTATGGTTCACCCATTCAATGATGGTCGCATCATAAGGTATTCTCCCTGAATTTCAGTTTATTTATGAACACATGTACATGCTATCTATTTCATAGGGGATCTACACCAGCCATCTGTGAATGAATCGGTTCAGACTCCAGTGCACATCAGCACTATAGCCGACCTTATTAGCTTTTTTATTTTATAAGTTTAACTTATAATTTTAAAAAGATGTCCATATGGAAAGGGATTATTTTGGAAAGATGGAAAGGAATTCTAAGCTGAAAATTGTACTAAAGTTTGAGAGGCAAGCGAGTATGGTCCTTTTGGCCCCAAATCATTTTTGCCACATGTAAGATCATTTGGCCATCTGGTACTAGGAAACCCTTGCCATATGGGGCAGGTATGTTAGCCAGATTTTTTTACTGAAAGGAATCTTCCATGTGCATACATGGTTTGTGTCCAAAAGGACCCCCACATATTCTTCACCCCATCCACAGACACCCCCCTCCAACCCACCCCCCCTAAAAGAAAAGACAAACACAAGGGGCAAATTTTATCTCAGACCCAGCTTCCATGTAAGCAAAATAAGAAATAAGTCCCCCTTTGGAGCTGCTTTGAAATTTAAAAATTTGACAGACTGGGTTTTTTGTATAGCTTGGGGGAACAACAATATAAAGTGGGTTACGGGGCTGATTTGGACCATTGTTATTAAATACACAAATGATATGCATATAATTGTATGGACCCTCGGTTTCTTGTGCACTGTTCCTTTTCCTCTCAGGTATGGCAGTATTTTTTCTCCTTGGTGGGGGAAGTGTGGGTAGCACCTATTAATGTTGAGGATCATTTAAAGCAAATATAATTAGGTGTGTTACATGAAGGTGAAAAATTCTATGGCACTGTGTGAATAAGGCAGTGTATGGGGTCTTTGGAATGAAAGGGAATGCTATTTAATGAAAAGTACAAAAAAGTGGAAGAAGTGATTGAACTCACAGTGATAAGAATTGCACATTGGGCATTGCTTTGTAAAAAATTTACTGGTGTTAGCATAAATGATATGCTGAGAGGGTGGAATGTTGTAGCAGGTTTTCATTCCAGGGTGCTCCAAAAAGTGGTTGAGTGGTTCCCTGATTCCCTCCAGAGGTAGGGAGATGCAAGCTAAATTTTGATGGGTACTGTTTAGGGAATCCTGGAGAATCTGGAGTGGGAGGATTTGGCAAGGGATAATGAAGGTAATATTGTGCTCAGTTACTCAGGCCCAGTGGGGTTTGGAATTTTTTTAAGAGCTGGGCTACTGGCCTTACTATAGGGACTAAAATTGAGCTAGCAACAGGGTTTGATGAATGTAGAAGTTGAAGGGGACTGTCAAACAATCATTCGGTGGATGACTTCTCAAGATGTTCTCCTTGAGTTTAGATGTTTAGTGAGATTGGCTCACTCTTAGGTGCCTCTTTGAACGCCTCATTCAATTGAGTTCCTAGGAGTGCCAATATGTTAGCTGATCAGTTGGCAAGAATTCGGGTGGGCAGAAATAATTTGGACTGGGGATGCCCAGGGCCGGGTTATTATTTGTAAGATCTTTCTTATTTTTGCTTTCTCTGTTTTTTGCTGGTTTTTTTTTTTTCTGTTGTGACTGAAGCTGATGTAATCTGCTCATTGCTTTGAGCCCCTCTCTTGTATTTCTCTCTTTAATGAATGTCACTGTTATTATTGATTATCAAAAGAAAGTATGCATATTATTGTATTTTTTACTAAAATGAAACACCACACCATTCAAATATATGGAAAAAATGTATTTTAAAGTCAAAATGGATAATTTACATTTTATTAAAATTTGTTATATAAACCCAATAAATTGATAAAAGAGGAACAAAAAAATCAATTCATATTCACCCTATAAGATCCAAAGAGTTTTGTCTTCTACTCAATTTCTGGTAATGCCAGCACTGGGAAATTAGGCATATGGGTTCAAAGTTTGAAATTGAATGAGAGTTAAAAGCGTTGGAATGATAGGTAAAGGGTCGAGCAGTTAGAAGTGGTAGAAATCAGGAGACATGAGGTCATCCATTATGCAGAAAGTTAGTTTCCTCCTGGTACTTGAGCAATTGGGGTTGCTGCATGATATATTAAAGAAAAGTTAAATAAATAAACACGGAATGAGTGTCTTAACAGTGCCAAGGAAATGACCCAAGAGGATTTTTTTGTTCATTGTATGATTGTTCCACACCTTAAATCTCTTTAAGGGCCCATTCTTTTTTTGGATTTTGAGAGGGGAGAAAGTTGGTCAATAGGATTTTGGTTCCTATTTACCAAGATACCCATGTTCTTTTTTCGGATTTATGTGGGGTTTACAGAAAATTTATTTTCCCTGGGTATACCCATCTCCCAGTGGTACTTACCCGGTGGGATAGGTGCCAAAACTTGGATGGGCCAAAACTGCCCCTTTTAGTAATGACTTTTTATGACTAAAATTGTCATTTTCTTATTTATTTGGAAAATAAAAGAACATGGGTAAATGCACTTATCCAGGTAACTTCCCAAAAAGTGAACAGGGCCTGAAGGAAAAGAAGGAATGCGAAAGGTTGTATGCTGATGTTGGTATTGGGTAATATGATTCTGAACTGGGTTTTAGTTTATCCATAATTTTTGAATGTTCATGGATCCTCTTTCAGGTGTATAGCTAAGGGTGTCAATGGACCGGTTTTGGATTGGACCCCATCCAGTCCAAAATCAATTTGGACGGACTGGAAGGACCAACAAGACATATTGGATTGGACCAATCCAGTCCAAAATATTTATTAGATTGGATTGGACCTGGTCCGTCCGTAATAAATTTATATTGGATTGGGTTGGATTAAGCCAATATCTGGTCCATTGATACAAGATAAGAATATAGATGTCAATGAACCGGGTTTGGGTTGAAACCAATCTAAATCAAAATGAATTTGAACAGATTGGATGGTCCAGACATTGGATTGGACCAGTCCAAAATGGTCCAAAATATTCATTGGACTGAATTGGACCTGGTCCATTTATAATGGACTCACATTGGACTGGATCGGATTGGACCAAATCCAGTCCAATTGACACCCCTATGTATAGCCTTTGCTCTACTCTTAACTGGAAATTTTGGGATTTGATTATGTATTTCTTTTCTTAGTTTCATTTTGACGCATCTTTCTGGTTGTGGAGTATCATCCATTTCCTATTTTGTAGTCTCCTGCTATTTTACTGAAAATTTCTATACATCCATCTAATGTATCCATGTAGTTTTTGCATTTATTATGTGTGGCTTATAAATTTTACAAAATTCTTTTTCTCATCAAATAGAAATTTTATTAAACTAGATAATCTCTAGTACGAGACTTCATATGAACCTTGAGGCACATGTGCCAACAACAAAAGCAACTAAAAATAATGTTTTTTCCATGTTGCCAGTGGACAGGGTACCATTTCACTGGAGCTTCTGGAACAAGTACCACAAATTGACACTATAGTAGTCCCAATAAGTGGTTCGTTTGATAATCGTTTAAGCATTGAAGACTCTTTGTTTTTTTTTTTTTTTCTTTTTCTAATCTGCAATCTGACTCAGTGCACTTGTTTCTATTTTTCTTTTGTTCCATGAAAAGGAGGTGGTTTGATCTCGGGAGTGGCATTGGCTGCTAAATCCATTAACCCTTCCATTAGGGTTTTAGCCGCGGAGCCCAGGGGTGCTGATGATGCTGCAAGGTCCAAGGCAGCTGGGAAGATTGTAAAATTGTCTGAAACCAACACAATTGCTGATGGACTTCGAGCTTTTCTCGGAGATCTGACATGGTAAGTGCAATCTTGTATTCTCTAAGAAATTAACTTAAGGAAAATTTGCAGCTTGCCGAAAGCAGAACTGTTGCCAATCAGAATTTCAGAACTTCAGGAGGCACTTCTTTGACTTCTTTGCGGCCAAATCAAAATGGTTGCCAAGTCTTCCCCCTTCCATTTTATTACCTTTCAGGCAAGGTTCAAAGTATCGATATCGTATCGTATCGGTACTTAGAAACGGCCAATACATATTTTTTTTTTAGTTTTTTTTCGAAGTTTAGTTTTTTGGGAAACTTATAAGATATTTTTTATTATTAAAAAAATTGGGGGTCTGAAACACCTGGAAACAGGCGTTTCAGACCGTATCACAATACACCCCGTATCGGATGTATCGTATCGATACTTTAAACCATGCTTTCAGGTAGTAGTGTTGATGGCTCGGATTGGGCCGGGTCTGGGTGAGGGAAGACCTGGACCCGACCCAATATGCGACTATGCTGAAACAGTTCTGAACTAGAGCCAACATCTTACCTAATTTTAATTGACAGGTTGCCAAATCTTCCCCTTCCATTTTATCGTGTTTCAAGTAGTGCTGTCGATGGGTTGGCTCAGGTTGGGTTTGGGTGAGGGCAGACCCGGACTGGACCCAATATGTAGCGGTGCAAATGGATTGGATCCGATCTGAAGTTCTATCCTATATTCTCTGATTCAGATAGCCCTATCTCGGGTCTCCGGATCGGATCGGATCGGATCGGATCGGATCATCCCCTATCCGATCTGATATATATGTTATTAATTTATTTATGTAAATAGATATGACATATATATGTTATTTATTTATTTATAAATATATTATTTATATTACATTTTTGTAAATTTGTTATATTATTTATTTTTATAAAAAACATGCATATATATATGATGAAAATAGTTGAAAAGATACTTGAAGTCTTTGTTTTTCTTTATTTAAATTGTTATATTTTATTTTATTTTTTATTTTTCTTTTTCTTTTAATAATTTATTAATTAGAAAAAATAGATCAGATTGGATCAGATCTAAAATCCGACTTTTTCATCAGATTCATATTTATCAGATCCGGTTGGATTTTCAGATTGAATAGGATCTGCAATTAATAGTGTATTTGGATATACCCTGATTTAAACCCGATCTGATCTGTTTGCATCCCTACCAATATGACTGCAGAACCACATCTTAACCAGACCCAACATGTGACCCAATTTTAATTGACAGGTATACTTTTAACCTGTAATTTAGCCATAAACCTGTGTATTTGTTAATTTGATACGTTTGGACATCATAATATGATTAGTATTACAAATATATCATGAGAAAAACAGGTATTAGACGGGTATTTTTGTCATGTGACAATACAGATATACAATTATATGATGGATGGATGGATTCAGGTCTTAATCAGTCCCGAACAACCAAAACTGATCCCGACCCAGATACTCTTTCTATATTGTCCAGATAATTGTCAGATGCAATTATATGTATGCATCTCTGTATACTGGTTTATTTGTGTAACAGGAATTATTTGCACACCTGGCAGCTTGTCATCTGCCCGAGTATAGGAATGATTTTAATGTGGATGGCTTTCAATGCTTAGAAAGCAAAGAAAAATAAATAATTAAACAGGCTGATGGCTTCGCTTGTCATCTGCCCCTGTATAAATAAAGGTGTAGTTCTTGTTGGTGTTTGGGGAGGGTGGCAAAAAAGGAAAAAAAAATAGGCGCAAAAAATTAAGTTCAGTCTCAAATGCCATTCAGCTTGAAATTCGGTCTCTACAACTTGACACGACTTTGTTGCATGCGTATTTGATCAAATAATTGTTGTAGTTGATATTACATTGCAGCAACAGAATATTTGCTTATTTGCTTCTGGAAATAGTTTTCTCGTACTATGACATTGTGCTCACTCGTCTTTGTCTCTATCTTTCTATGCGCAGGCCCATAGTTCGAGATTTAGTGGATGACATAATAACCGTGGAAGATAAGGAAATTATAGAAGCCATGAGAATGTGTTATGAGATTTTGAAGGTCGCTGTGGAACCCAGTGGGGCCATTGGCCTTGCTGCTGTTCTCTCTGATGGTTTCCAGAAGAATCCTGCTTGGAATGAATGCAAGCACATTGGAATCATACTTTCAGGAGGCAATGTGGATCTTGGTGTGCTTTGGGAATCACTCAATAAATGAAGTTAAAAGTCTCTCCCCTTTTCCTCTGCCTACTGGCCTGCTGTTGTGTCTAATGAACACTATCTTCCCAGTTGACAGAAGACATGTTTGGCCACACCTCAGAATTCATTAATTAATTATCCCCACCCCTTACAACAGCATGACTCCGTGAAGTACAATCGCATTATGAATAAAAACTCAAATCACCACTTTTAGTTTTTTCCACCGTTTTTATTTTCATTTTTCATCTTCAGTTGTGGAAGGTATGGGAGTTCTCTCCGGGGCCTCCACACTTGGAAACCAGAAAACCATGCGACAACACTGCATATTCAACTGTTTAATGATGCTTGTACAAGTGTGGAAAATAGGGCCAGATCTCAGACCTCCGTGGGCACAACAGATAGTGAGAAAATACGCGCCAAATTGGACATAACGAGACCCAAAAGTCAAAAGCCAATTTCACATGTACACCGGAAGCACAATGCAAGCATTCCTTGGCACTTTGGCAGCCAATTTGATTGCATTTTGACATCTACCAATACTAACTAATGTAAAACAAAGCAAACCGGTGAAAGTTTAGAAACAATAACAACGATAGAAGTACACTCCTATGACAAAGCAATAGGATATTGCAGCAGCAGACCAATCCCCCCACATCAAAAATATTCAAGAAAAAATTAACAAAGCAATAAAGGCAAACAACTTAATGATGCAAGCGAAGGAAGCTACATCCATATCTACTCATATAACAACCAACACCATCCTCTGTATCGATTTTAAGCTTCCTGAAGGTCCTCTTCTTCGTCTTCGTATTCTCCCTCCTCGTCTGCTGTCGCATCCTGATACTGTTGATACTCAGACACCAGATCGTTCATGTTGCTCTCAGCTTCTGTGAACTCCATTTCGTCCATACCCTCTCCGGTGTACCAATGCAAGAAAGCCTTCCTGCGGAACATAGCTGTGAACTGCTCGCTTACCCTCCTGAACATCTCCTGAATTGATGTGGAGTTACCAATGAAAGTGGATGCCATCTTCAATCCCGTTGGAGGGATGTCACACACTGTGGACTTCACATTGTTGGGGATCCACTCCACGAAGTAAGATGAATTCTTGTTCTGAACATTGATCATCTGTTCGTCGACTTCCTTTGTGCTCATTTTACCTCGGAACATGGCAGAAGCAGTGAGGTACCGGCCATGGCGTGGATCAGCAGCACACATCATGTTCTTGGCATCCCACATCTGCTGCGTGAGCTCAGGAACGGTAAGGGCACGGTACTGCTGTGACCCACGAGATGTGAGCGGAGCAAAACCAACCATGAAGAAGTGAAGACGAGGGAAGGGGATGAGATTGACAGCAAGTTTGCGAAGATCAGAATTCAGTTGACCAGGGAACCGTAAGCAGCAAGTGACCCCACTCATGGTTGCAGAAATCAGGTGATTCAGATCACCAACTGAACATGATGGACAAACACTTAATAAGTACAAATATATAATAATAATAATAATAATAATAATAATAATAATAATAATAATAATAATAATAATAATAATAATAATAATAATAATAATAATAATGCAGGGGCTTTTAGAAGGTCCAAAAGAATGCAGGATTCACATGATACCCCAGCTGTATTTGTGCACAAATTACAAAAATATATAAAACAAAAATGAATAAAAAAGGAATATCACGTGACCATACCAAAAACATGATTCTTTTATTGTTGCCAAAATTCGAAACTACCATCCATGACGGACGTTGAAATGCCCTAAATTACCCTTGTAATGTTCGTATCTCCTTTTTTATTGATGGCCAAAAACAATGGACTAATAAAATGCCATTAAATGCATTATTCGGCCATTAAGGAGAATAAATAAATGGGGTTTTTACTGTTCAGTCTACTTCAATAAATCTTAATTCCACCGTACAATTGAGGTAGATGTCTGAAATATTGATTTGTTATAAATCTGCAGTAGAATTCCGAATTCTGAAGTGGTGGAATACAGTGTAGTTATCCCTAAATAAAATGCCATTAAATGCATCGAAAAAAACCCTACAATCAGTCTCACCAACAAAAGAAAACAATATGAAAGTACAGAAAACAAGAGACTTACAGCTGGGAGTAGTGAGCTTGAGGGTCCGGAAGCAGATGTCATAGAGAGCTTCATTATCCAAAACCATACATTCATCCGCATTCTCAACAAGCTGGTGAACAGAGAGGGTAGCGTTGTAAGGTTCAACGACCGTATCAGAAACCTTCGGGGACGGGAAGACGGAGAATGTAAGCATCATCCTGTCGGGGTACTCCTCCCTGATTTTAGAAATGAGTAGTGTTCCCATTCCTGATCCAGTTCCACCTCCCAACGAGTGACAGACTTGAAATCCTGGAAGAAATTATTGGTATCAAGTTATGATCTTAGTACATAAAGGCATTACAAAACCTATCAACAGTCATTCGCGATCTAAGCGCCAATTGTTCTTCGGAAGAAAGTACCAAGTACCAAAAAATAGAGAACAGGAAAACCCTCAACCCGAGAAAAAGTTGGTAAGACCTATTAAATACGGCTCGAAGTACATAAGATCCATAACGATAGATTATTAGCACCCTTTGAAGTAGAAACGGCATAACAGAGAAAGATACATCAGAACGGCTAAGCCAGAGAAAACACTCTAACCTAATCAAGGAGAATCATATAGAAATATAAAGATTTTTATTTTGTTTTTTTATAAAACAACATTAGATCCCACCGTGAAAAGGCAAGCCAACACTGAAAGAAAGTAAGTAAAGAGAGATGGTATCTTAAACTTAAATAGAACGTTTAACACCCAAAGGAACAAATGCATACAAAAATCATACAAGATACTAGAGACAAGATTTGTAAGGAAAGTGGAAAAAATGAAGGGGAAAAAGAAGGATTACCTTGCAGGCAATCACAGTTCTCTGCCTCTTTTCTCACAACATCAAGAACAGAATCGATGAGTTCGGCTCCTTCGGTGTAATGCCCCTTGGCCCAGTTATTTCCGGCACCGGACTGTCCAAAGACGAAGTTATCAGGGCGAAAGATCTGACCGTAAGGGCCAGATCTAACACTGTCCATTGTCCCTGGTTCCAGATCCATAAGAACCGCTCGAGGAACGAATCGACCACAGCTTGCTTCGTTGTAGTAGACATTCACCCTCTCAAGCTGTAGATCAGAGTCCCCCTGATACCTTCCAGTAGCGTCGATCCCATGTTCGGCGCACACAACTTCCCAGAACTTGGCACCGATTTGGTTGCCGCACTGGCCTCCTTGGATGTGCAAAATCTCACGCATCTTGAACCGTAAATGGAAGTAGGCGAAGAGATCTGAGGAGCGAACGTGAGTTGCAGACTACGGCGGTCAGATACTGCTAGCAGAGAGAGAGAGGGAGATAAGAGACGAGAAGTGAAGGGATGGAGTCTAAAAATGGGGGGAAAGGTGAGGGACAGAGTGATTTATAGGTCGAGGTTAACGATTTCCATCTTCCGTTTTGTTTGACGTTAGATTTGACGGCTAAGAAATCACTGCCGTTTATTTTTAGTGGGAATTTGAATTTTGAATTTGAAATGAAAAAAGATTACCGTTTGACGGAACAGAAGGGAGATGGGTCAAAGAGAAGGGGGTGAATGATCCCCTGAAACCCTTTTTTGTTTTTTACAAGCAAAAGAAACGTTACTCTACGGTCTAATTAGTGCACGTGGCAAACAAAAAACCGTTGGATTGATCCTGATGATCCAACAGTCAATGTAGATGGAGAGGTCTAGACTCTAGCGGGTCCGATCAGCGTCGTTATACAAGCGTAGCACAGAATCAGAAGGCATGGGTGGGTTTTGAGCAATTTTTTATCTCGAATTCCGGTTTGCCAGCCAGCCAGCCAGCCCAACGGTTGATTTCAGCCGTGCCAGCTAAAAATTAATTTGTAAGTTGTAAATTGTAAATTGTATGTAACTGTGACCTACTTGAAAATAAAATAAAAGCATTAGAAACATCTAATGACTAATGGCATTCGTTCATCAAAGATTCAATTCAAGGGTTTTGGATTTCAAGCATCCAGTAAGTGGGGCGGGCCCAAAGATCGAATGGTGGAAAGGCCACGGCTCCAGCTCCAGTGGGCCATCGATGGATAGTAGATCTGGGCATCTGGGGGAGGCATTGCTTTCGATGGGTACAATGTCTCTTTCTGAGCTTGGGCATTCAGTCTCAATCAGATACTTGGTTAAGACTTAAGACAAAAATGACAAAATATAAAAGTGATAGAAATAGTATAATGGAATTGCCGAGGCTAAGGTTTGTAGTTTGTACCTCAAGCCCCAAGCCTCAAGGCATTGCGTGTTCTCAGGAATGAGGAATCAGGCTGGTGAGGAAGCCATTCATTGATCATTCATTGTAGCAGCATATGACAGAGATCTACTTGTGTGTGTATGTGCAAGAGAGAGTGAGAGTGAGAATAACGTGGCTTTCACTCGTAATTGACAGACGTGGTCCCCTTGAAAATAAAAATATCGGCTTCTCAATTGACAGATAGGTTCAAATGCTTCAATCAATGAGAGCCCATGCCCCATGGGAGTTGTTATTGGACCCTTCAATACAAAGCAAAGAATAAAAGAAGCCTATATTTTTTTTGCCTTACTGGGCCCTCGCCTGCCTACCCTATCCACATTAGATGATCAGTTTTAATCAGTCATTTGATTAACTCGTAGACTATTATCTGACGATTGATCCAATAAGGGAAATCTCCCTCTCTCTCTCTCTCTCTGATCTATGTTGCAGGCAACAAGAGTCGAACCTCGAGCTGAAATAGGGGAACTGGGATAAATCACTAAAGGCCTTTAGTGAGTCACACACTTGACACTTGCATGCTTCATACCCAAAAGAGGAGGAGAGTGTATTGTATCTTTTGTATACATTTGTCTGTTTTTTTCTTCCTTTTCCTAAAAAACATCAGCTTTTGCTACTGAGATCTTATTGGATCTGGATCTAAGGCTGTGTTTGGATGCATGTGAAATGAAGGAAAATTAAATGTTTACTACGAGCAAAGTAGATTTAATTTTCTTTTGCATTTTGTTTGGCTTGAAAAGAAAATCTCGTAAGTAGTTGAGAAAATACATGAGAGTGTATTAATTGGACCTACCTCAATTCCATTTATGCTCTTTTTTTAAGGGATAATTTTTAAAATTCATCATGACTTTTTTGCATTTCTCTTAAAACTCATCATGACTTTTCAAAACTGTCAAAGAGCCCTCTATCATTGAGTTTTATTGTCCAAAACTCACATTAAGATTTCCATTAGATCACCTCAATGACTGACTATTAATAGAAGTTGTCCATATAAGAATTTAAGTATTTTATATGGCCAAATTACCCTTATAATGGTTAGTCAACATTATTAAATATTTTTATGATAAAATTACCCCTAAAATGGCCAGTCAACCTTATCAAATACTTCAGTCATAGTCCAGGCTTGAAATATTAGGCCTAGACATGACTCTAAAATTTGCAGACCTAATGTGAACTCAGGCCCAAATAGGAGGTAATTTTGTCATTAATAAATTTAATAAACTTGATTGGCCATTCAAAGGCACTTCCACCATATTAAATACTTAAATGTTTATATGGACATGTGTGTGTGTGAATTTTGGACAATAAAACTCAATGATTGAGGGTTATCTCGGGATTTTAAAAAGTCATAATAAGTTTTAAAAAAATGTAAAAAAGTTAGGATGAATTTTAGATAGCATCCTTTTTTTTTTAATTATTTCATCTCGTTTCATTTTATGTACAAGCTAAACCAAGAGGAGACTTACAAACTAAACAACAAAACCATGGAATGTGAGATGACCAAATGATTGAGTAAATGTGAAAAGGATTATTATTTCTAAATAGATAAGTAGGTAAAGCCTTTGTGTAAGACAAATTTGAAGAGGAAGGAGGTCCCATAATTCATTAATGACAAAAACATAACATAACGACCAATGACAAAACTTGAAAAGTTAAACCATATGAGGCAGGAAAACTCTACGATATTCAAGTCCAAGTTCAATACTCAATGCTCATTGCACAATAGGATAGCCTTAGAATTGGGGACAGAGCAAGGTGTATACGAGGTCCACTAACCATTGAGTTGAGGGACCACGGTTTGACCAAAATAAAACCCCAAAGTGAAGTAAAATTCAAAGCAAAATCGCATCAAAACTTATTAGCTAGGATTCAGTCACTCAGAGGTGAGGGGACAGAACTACGTGGATTTGATCGATCCTGTAACCTGTTCCCTCCCTCCATCTTTCAAGGGTTTCCACATAAATCATCTCAATTTCTGCCAATGAATCTCACGTGCACACCCGAGTCTTTTCTTGTATTGAGCACGAACAAATTATATCAATAATTCTTTACACAAAATGCTCATTTTAGGTCATGTGTTTACCAAACCAATCCAATTTTGATTTTGGTTTTTAGAATTAGAAATTCAGTTCTTAATCGAATTAATCAAATTTACTATTATTATATATAATATGTAATATATTTAAATATTAATATATAATAAAATGAAATTTGATTTCATAATATATATTTTATATTATATGTTATAATATATAATAATAGAGTATATATTATTAAAATTTGGTTTTAACCGGAATAACCGAAAATCAAATCGAAAAGTTTGATTTTGGTTATTTCGGTTTTGATTCATTTTTTATTTTTTTTAGTTTGGTTTTTTAAATTTCAGTTTATTCGGTTCAAATTTTAACTGAATGCTCACCCCTATCAAGAGTTGGCAAAATATATTGTATATGTTGAACAACCATTTTTATTAGATGAGGATAGTAAAATTGAACAATTTATATGTAATTTATAAATCTTCAATTTAAAAACATTTCTAAAAATACTATTAGAGCAAATGCTATGAAATTTTTTTATTCATATAAACAAAATTTAATTTCTATTTTATCAAATCTTTATTCTAGAGTTACAATCACTTCTGATATTTGTACCTTTAAATTTAATATAAATTATATTTGTGTTGTTGGTCATTTTATTGATGAAAATTGGCTTTTACAAAAAAGAATTTTAAGTTTTATTAGGCTTGAATGACCACATACTAGCCCAGCTATTGCCACAAATATTTTAAATACATTACAAGCTTATGGAATTGACAATAAACTTTTTCTATTAGTTTCGATAATGCTAGTAATAACGATTCAACAATAAATATTTTAAAATCTCAATTAAAACCATGTTGAAATGGAAAATTATTGCATATTAGATGTGCATGTCACATCTTAAATTTATGTATTGAAGATGCTTTAAATATTATTTCTCATCATGTTTCTAAAATTAGAAATTGTATTATTTAGATAGATAGATAGATAGATAGATAGTTAGCTAAATAGATAAATAGATAGATAGATAGATAAAGTTCTAGAGCAAGAAGACAAGAATTTAAATATTTATGTTATAATTATGGTTTAAAATAAGACAAATTTCTAAAACTACCCTTATGGTTTAGCTAATTAACCAACTATACCCTTACTATTTTGGACAATTACCATGGTCATTAAAAGGGATGGAAATGTTTATTTTGCCCACAAGTCATTCTCTCCCCCTTTCTTCCTCACCGCATCGAGTTGGAATGATCCCTACCGAGGAAGTGTTCATCTTCTTCAGCATTTTTCAATTGGTCTGCAAATATGGTATTCCGGCGACTTAGTTCATTACCTTTGTTTATTTTATTTCTGACGCAATAATATATATATATATATATATATATATATATATATATATATATATATTACTCTTTGTTCTTTTGATTTTGGGTTCAACTTGGAAACATGATAAGAAGGATGTTAACGAGTTGTGCTTCCATGGCTGCATTGAGGCCTATGCTAGTCTTGGCAATTGCTATTAGCTACTGGCTCCAGAAACCCCAAATAGATGGAACCTCCCTACTGGTCCACTCTCTCTCTTTCCCCTTCTTTTTCTTCTTCTTCAAGCGATAGCTCACCTCTAGCAACGATTAGGATAAAACCTCCCTCACCTGACCTCTCTCTCTCCCCTTATTCTTTATCTTCTTCTTCAACCTCCAGCTCACCTCCCCTGTTTTTCCTCTCCTACCATTGTCGCTGCAACTCTTAGCAGCGGCAATTTGGATCGAACTTCCCTCATCGGACCACATGCATCTGAAAGCTAAATTAAAAGTAACTCACTTGAATATCAAATATTTGGTTCAAGGCTGCAAAATTGAGCAGCCTCTTGGGGAGATTGACTACATTCCTTTGAAAGACCACATTGTTGTAGTCCCTCAACACCTTGGCCGAGAACTCGTAGCTCAAGACCTTTCTCTAGCGGGTAAAATACGGAGTATTGACACAACAGCTCACCTCACCCGAACTGCGAAGATCCCATCACTGAGTAGATCACTCAAGATTTCATAGTTGTGCAACCCCTACTCGACCATTTTAAGGAATAGAGTCTGGACGTGCGAGGTTTTTGAACAAACTCTAGCGAGTGTCACCTACAAAGTCGACACGGTTGCTCTCCACTGTACCCTATTCCACCTAAGTGTATTTGTCAAAGATTTAGGCGTGTATAGGGCTACAAATTCAAGGTCTGAATCAGTAATGCCCCTACCTGCTTCAAGAGTGGTCAAATTTGAGAACCTAGGTTTGAAATTATGGAGGAGATTGGGCTTTAAGACTCATAGTGAGGAACCCATCGACACAGCTGTGAACGTCAAAAAATATCTGGCAATTCACTTTATGGCCGATTAGATGGAGTCATCACCCATCAGAATAGATTCCTAATTTATATTTTATGAATAAATTTGAAATTAATAGTGACTACCACACCATTCAGTTTTGATAAGGCAGACAAATCTAGGTAAGTTGAGATAGAGAGAGAGAGGGGGGGGAGGGATTAGGCTCTCTCTTGTTAGTGTGAATGCCAAAGGTTTTCATAATCAGATTGAGAGCCAATGTTCTCTGACAACCGAGAAAGGATATTAACCATGCTTCTTTCTCTTCTTCTCAACCTAGCCCCTTTTGGACGCAGGGGCTTGAGCAAAAGAGTGAGACACAATGTCCCCACCCCTTTTCTATCAGAAGTCCCACCTTCGGACTCAATTGGCCGGTCTGAAGAATTGAAAGAGACTATCAATCCTCCTAAAAGTCGGAAACACAAAAGCTCGCAAAAGCAAAGGACAACAAGTAGGCAATGACTAAAAAAGAAAGAAAAAAAAAATAAAACAAAACAAAACAAAACTAACTACCTATCCAATAAGAAGATTTTCTATCTAACAAGAGGAAAAGGATATGAGGTAAAGGATTTTACCTCTTGTAGCCTTCAAACAATTTGACGATGCTGTGAGACTTTGATTGATCTAGGCTGATGCAGAGGTTCTGATTTAACGGCAATGCAAATACTATGATTATTAAGTTGGCAATAGTCTACTATAGTTCGAATGATGGTAGAGATCCCACCGGAAACAGTAGCAAATGACTGACGCGTTCAATAATTAGAACAGAATGGGCAAAATCCTCTTCTTGTTTAACCCCATATATCTCGATCTCTCCTTCTATTTCTCTCTTGATCTTAAACTCGAACTCTCACTTTGTTTGCCCTCTCTCGAAACCTCTCTAATTTTTCTCAGTTTCTCCCTCTCCTTTTGTCTTTGCGAACTCTACTCTCCTCTCAGCGAGAGACCCCTCTCCCTCTCTCTCTTTCTCTCTTGATCGAGAGAGAGAGTCTCTACTCTCAGCTCAACGACGAGAGAGCCCCTACATTTTTCTTCACTCGACTCTCCCTCTTCCTCTATTTTCTCTCCTCTTTTGAAGTAGCCCACTCTCAACTATTCAATAATCTCTCACCCAATCTCCCCTTCGACCTTTTTCTCTTCAAACTCCTCTTCTTCGCCTCTTTCAAAAGAATGAAAGACCCCAAAGATATTTCTGCCAATTCAATTTGGGTCCTCCCTCCCCTTCTCCACTAACCTCTTTTCTTGGGAATGGAGCCTCCTATTTATAATAGGAGGGAGGGCGAGGTTCTGCCAACTCTCAAGGTTTCAGCAAGTTGGGATTTAGAGAGAGAAGCTAATTTGAAAATTTGGGTTAGAAGGGGTAATTTTGTAATTTTGGATTGGGGTAACTTGCAAAGTTGAGATGAAAGAGCAATCAAAAGGTGATTAGGGTAGTCTAGGGTTTGAAAGGGTAGGTTTTAGAGGGGGTATTTGGGTAATTTGGTTGAAGGGGGCATTTTGGTAATTTGGAGAAAGAGGATTTTGATAATTTGGTTAAGGGGTATTTTGGGAATTTGGAAGATGGGGTTTTTCCATAATTTGGAAGTAGGGTATTTTTGGGATTCGGAATGGAGGGCACTTTGGTCATTTGATATGAGGTAGTTTTGGTGATTTGGAAAGAGGGTAGTTTTGGGTATTTGGCATGAGGAGTATTTTGGTAATTTGGTTAAGGGTATTTTGGAAAATTAGGGGATGAGGGGTATTTTTGGGATATAGAAGTAGGGTATTGGGCATTTGGAATGGAGGGGTATTTTTGGGAATTTAGGGTATGACAAACATTTTTTGTGACTTGAAAAGAGGGTAGTTTTGGGTATTTGACATGAAGAGTATCTTGGTAATTTGGTCAAGGGCATTTTGGGAACTTGGAGAGAAGGGGTATTTTGGGCTTTAAGGGTATTACGTGGGTTCAACGACAAATTTTAAGGATTTGGGGTTGAGATTTGGGTTCTTTGGATTCTCTAGGTTTCGGTAGGGTCGGAATGGTTTGATCGGTGTTCGAGGGTGAGTTGGGGGTTCAAACAGAGGACTAAGCAAAAATCGAGTGCTACAATAGCAAGGGTCAAATTTGAAGAAGCTATCAAGCTCGATAACCAAGATAAGTATGAGAGGACAAGAAAAAAACCTTAGTGGAGACCTTCCTTATCAAAAAGTCAAATTCAGGTTGTAGTAGGTTGGAAAGATTTTGTTCTTGTTTCTTCGTTCTCCATATTGGAAAGGGTATTACTGACATTTTTTCAAAATATAACAATGGTGTGGTGTGGCGTGTGATCGAATTGTGACAGAACCCTAACGATAAGGGAATAATTATCCAATTGTCATAAATTTTGAAGGTACTTTTAGACAAAAGTTAAACAGTAAGGCTACAGTTTGTCAATTAGTTAAATAGTAGGGGTAGTTTAAGAAATTTTCCATTTAAGATATAAACATTTTTTGTTAGATGTTCAACATAGATGGAGTTCTACCTATTTTATGTTAGAAAGTTGTATTCTCTACAAACAAATTCATAGGATGTGTTTGTTTTGAAGGAAAAGGTAGGAAAGAAAGGGAAAGACATGGAAACGTACACAAGGTTTATACATGTTTCCCTTCCTTTCCTTTCCTTTCCATACCTTTTCCTTTAAACCAAACATGGCCTTACTAATTTTTATAATGCAAAAACGTCACATGATATTATATTTCAGTAAGATTGAGAAATAACAACTTGTATAAGAGATTTTTTACACAATTTTTATGATGCAACTAATGATTTTTCAAGTGTTTATTACCCAACTACTTGTCTTTTAGTTAATCAATTATTCATGATTAGTGAATATTTTTCAAAATACAGAAAAAATACACATTTTACAAGAATTATTGAAGTAATGGAAAATAAATTTAAAAAATATTAGGAGAACATTTCTCCTCTTTATTAATTAGCTACAATATTAGAATTATAATAAAAAATAAATTTTTTATTTGATATTTAAAAAATTAAGAATTATAATAATTTATTATTATTATATATGAAATAAAAATATTATATATATTATTTTCTGTAATTTTATATTATTATTATTATTATTATTATTATTATTATTATGTAGCTATTCAAGCTCAAGAGCTGAGCATTATTAGGTTTGAGCTCGTCAATTAATAAATGAGCCTATAAATTGGGTTCGAGCTTGGCTCGAAGCTCGGTTGAAACTGAGCCGAGCCGAGCTTTTCACTTGCTGAGCTTGGCTCGTGGCCACCCCTAGTGAAAAATATAGAATTTGGTCTCTAGTAGGAGGTAGAAATTGCTACCACCTCATCAACAAGTTAACTTACTAAACTTAATTTTTATTTACAAGCAAACTTTTATAGTTTAAGTGATTCGTTCAATTTGGAAGGAATAGATAATTTTGATATTTTAGCCTAGTGGAGTGGACATGAAAAATAAATTATCCAGTTCTTGCCGTCATGGCATGTGATCTACTAACCCCTTTGGTGTTTGTAGCTCCATTAAAGTTTTATTTTAGTGCAGGTACTATGGTGCTTGATGACAAGAGAAACTACATGAATGATGAAAGTCTGGAGATGTGCATCTGCTTCAAACATTGGCTAGATGTTGAGGATAGATTACAAGACAAAGAAGGGCATGACACTACACCTAATGATTCACCTAAAGTAGTTGATCAAAATCAAGATGGAGATGGAGGTGGAACTTGAAGAAAAATGATGAAGACAATATTCTTTTGTACTCAATAATTTTGTAACATTTTTTTAAATTATTGTAAAGTTTGTTGTTCGATTTCATTTAAATTATTTGTTATTTTTTCAACAATGTAATTTTTATTTTCAATTTGTAATTGTATTATATTTTTTATATTTTATTCCATTTTGTTAAGTATTTTTTGACCATTGTATTGTTCAAGTTTCAAATTAAAATGAAATAGAATTCCTATTTTTTTCCAATTTGTTGTTCATTTTGTACTTTGTTAAGTATGTTTTCATTTCTTTGTTAGAACTTTTATTTTTTCAATTTGTTCCCAAAAGAAAGTTAATTATTTTAGTTTTACTTAGCAATAAAAAAATCAAGGTGTCAAAAAGTTTGGCCCAGTTCGGCCCAAGCCAAGGCCTGGCCCGTAGCCCAATCTAGCACGGAACAAGCCCACACAGGCTCAGATTGTAGGCCGTGTTAGGCCAACCCCCTAACTTATCCCAAGGGAGGGAAGCCCGGTTTGCACCTCTAAGCGTTAGTAATATTGATAGAAATTGTCCAAACAAAGTATTTTACATGGTTGAACTATCCATGAATAATCAGTTAACCTTATTAAAATATGTTTATGATAAAATTATCCCTAACTATTGTAGGTTTGGTGTGGGGTCAAACTTGAGTTAAGGGTAATTTTTTTATGAAAAATATTTAATAAGCTTGATTGGCCATTCAAGAGTAGTTTGATCATGTAAAATATTCAAATGCTTAAATGGACAACCTCAATTAAGAATTGCATACGGTGAATTAATCGAAATCTAATGGAAGATAAATTTTAGACAATATAGCTCATTAAAATGTAAAGAGGTCTCGGTGAGTTTGAGATAATATCATTTTTTAAATAACCATATTAGAATACAAAGCCATTATGTATGATAGAATCGGTGTATAAATATCTTTTGAACTTGACTGTTTATCAAATTTGTAAAACATTTAGCACCTCTTGTGTATTCAGTATTCACCCTTAAAGCTGCATTTGTTTGCAGTGTAAAACTTCATTGATGTAAAAGTCCACCGATGGAGTTCCACACCGAAGTTGTGTTTGTTTGTAGTGTAAAACCTCGTTGATGTAAAAGTTCACCATTGGTTTAGTTTTGTCAGCGTTTGTTTGCAGTGCAAATCAAGATCGATGTAAAACTCCACTCCTAGTTCAGGTTTGTCGGTGCTTGGATGGAGTGGATTTTTACATCGTAAATCAATGTAAAGCCTCACTTATAGTAGAGTTTTGCATTGATTATGAATGTAAATCAATGTAATATTACATTGATAATCACATTTTTCGAAACTCAATGGTTTAGAGATTTTAAACTATTCGATATGAAACTCCAGCGGTGGACTTTTACATCGATGAGGTTTTACACAACAAATAAATGTAGTTGAACGGTTTAAAATCTTTGGACCATTGAGGTTTGAAAAATGTGATTATCAATGTAATATTACATTGATTTTATTGATATAGTATTTATATTGATAATCGATGTAAAATTCTACTATAAGTGAGGTTTTACATTGATTTACGATGTACAACTCAACTCCATCCAAACATCGGAAAATCCGAATCAGGGTGGAATTTTACATCAATCTTGATATAGACTACAAACAAACACTAACAAAGTTGAACTAGTTGTGGATTTTTACATTGACGAAGTTTTACACTATAAATAAACACAACCTAAAGATCATCATATTTTCACTTAAGCTCAAAATAGATTAATACAAGTTAAAACACATGTATTAATAAAACATATTGACATCCAATCTACACACACATGTGATAGTAGTGGATTGGTCATGGTTGCAAAAATTCCATTTGTACCTATATTGTATCCCTTGTATTGTACTACTAGTTGATGCCAACTGGAACAATAAAATATCATACAAAGTTTAGAGTATTAATACTTATAATACGAAAAAAATAATATATTAGGAATTAAATTTAATCAACACTTCTTTTTATTTTTCTATTTAATAATTAATTTAACAATGAAATAGTCACATAGTTATTACAATATAAAATAATTAAAATAACATAATTTTTTAACCTAGCATATCAATGACCACAAAGTATTAATACTCTAAGCGACTAAGCCTTATATCAAACAATAACCAGTAGACTTGTAGCATTGTCTTTGTGGTAAAAAGAAACAATAGAGTTTTTTCAAACAAGTCAAAAAGTCCATATGAGCTAGTACAATAGTCAGCAAGTTGATCTCTTGGGTGTCGGTTATTACTGAATTTAAGCACCTAAATGTAGTTGAGTT